CGGAGGAGGAGTAGGCAAGGTCGACCGCGGGGTAGACGTGTGGATGTGATTTTACACGAGTTAAAACATTGTGGAGGGAAGCACCAAGCGCTATTCACGATTAGCTCCATAGTAAAAGAGAGTAACAGAGGGAACATGCTGATGAAGCCCAGTCCCTTCCCAGGAGATATCTGGGCCTGCGCGGGAGCTCTCGGGGCGGTCATGGTGATCAAGGACCGATTCTCATCATGAGGTAGGCATGTGAATGGCGGGGAGCCGCTTGTACATGTACAGAGTGTCTTTCCACAGATAGACAACGTAGTGGAATCACTAAATAATACTTGAGGTGTCCAGATGTGATTGAGATGACAGGATACGATGATGAAGAGTAGATAGGGTTCCTGATATGTATGCAGATGGATAGGCGATGACCACATCGGATCATGTGAGAGGGGCGGATGACCCACCTGAGCACAGACCATATAGTGCCATGTGCGCAACATGCGGGTTTGTTTACATTTTCCTTTTCCAGTCTCCGCCGAGCCACAACAAACGTTTGGCCAGATTACTTTGATCTTTATAGAGACAGACAACTTGCCGACATCCAGCAACGAACCGAATAATTTTCTTGCTAGATTGCTAGCGTACTCATCTCTGATAGCCATTGTTTCCTTGTTTTGAAGTATCTGAACATTTGCTCGTTGACCTTTCACCATGCCCGGCCCCCAACGGCCTGCCTCCGGCCTGCCCACCAGGCGGACGGGTACACGACAAGCAACACGGCGCCCGACCTCATCAGCGACTGAGAGAAGAACATCCTCCGCGATCCCGGCAAAAGCTTCCGCCCCGAATGCGTCTCGTCTGAAGTCGCCTAGCGACACGGCCTGCATCACTGCGATAAGGAACCAGAGAGATTATGAGCGCGAGATTAATGAGGACACGAGTATTCACGTGGTTGTACGGTGCCGTGGGCGTAATGATCGCGAAATCAAGGAAAACAGCGGCGTGGCAGTATCGATCGAGGGAGCCAAGGGAAAGACCGTGGAGCTGTCAATGGGCCCAAATGCAGTTTCGAATAAAGCTTACACTTTCGACAAAGTCTTCTCGGCTGCGGCTGATCAGGTCACTGTGTACGAGGATGTTGTTCTTCCAATTGTGAACGAGGTCAGCTATTTACTACAAACCATGTGAAAGATTGCAAGAAGTTGACCAGCTAATGGAATCAGATGCTCGCGGGTTACAACTGTACTGTCTTCGCGTACGGGCAGACAGGAACGGGCAAAACATACACCATGTCAGGTGATATGACAGACACTCTTGGGATACTATCCGACAATGCTGGGATAATTCCACGCGTTTTGTACTCGTTGTTCCACAAGCTCGAGGATACGGAAAGCACGGTAAAATGCTCTTTCATTGAGCTTTACAACGAAGAGTTGCGCGACTTGCTTTCAGCCGAGGAAAACCCGAAGTTGAAGATATTCGAGAACGAGAAAAAGGGCACCAGCGGCAGCACACTTGTACAAGGGATGGAAGAAACGTGGATTGACTCGGCATCTGCTGGTATTAAATTACTTCAGCTTGGCAGTCATAAGCGCCAAGTCGCTGCCACCAAATGCAACGACCTGAGCTCTCGAAGCCACACGATCTTCACAATTACGGTGTATACCAAACGGACCACTGAGAACGGGGATGACTACATCAGTTCTGGAAAGCTCAACCTGGTCGACCTGGCTGGGAGTGAGAATATCCAGCGCAGCGGTGCTGAGAACAAGCGAGCTACGGAGGCTGGTTTGATCAATAAAAGCCTGCTCACCCTTGGTCGTGTGATCAATGCGCTGGTGGATAAAAGCCCGCACATCCCATACAGGTACGCTACACTTCTTGAAGGCCTCTTTGGAGAAGAGGAAGCTAACTGCAAGCAGAGAATCAAAACTCACGCGGTTATTGCAAGACTCTCTCGGCGGGCGAACAAAAACATGCATAATTGCCACAATCTCGCCCTCCCGTGGCAATCTGGAAGAGACCATATCCACGCTGGACTACGCATTCCGGGCCAAGAACATCCGCAATAAACCTCAGATCAACTATATGGCGAAAAAGACTCTTCTTCGAGAGTTCACATTAGAAATTGAGAAGCTCAAAGGGGAACTTATCGCCACAAGACATAGGAATGGTGTTTACATGACACCCCATGCCTATGAACAGATGACAATGGAGAGTGAATCCCGACGAATTGTCAATGAGGAACAAAGAGCCAAGATCGAGTCCATGGAGTCTAGCCTACGGAACAAGGTTCAAGAGCTCTTTACGTTAACCAGCAACTTTAACAACCTCAAGAAGGATCACGAGGATACACGTTCTGCATTGAATGAGACCAATGACATCCTCGAGAAGACGGAAATTGTTTTGAAGGATACAAGAGACACTCTCGAAGAGGAAGAAATGTTACGCAAAGCCCATCAGGATACGGAAGCCCAGCTGCGTGATATTGGGTCGGATTTGGTATCGACGTTGGAAAAGACTGTTGGTGATGTGGAAGGGTTGCATGCGAAACTACAACGGAAAGCAGACCTCGAGGCAACAAATCGGGAGAAATGGGAGACTTCTGTAGACGAAGTTGCTGATGTGACAAGCATGATCGACAGTAGGGTTGGGACGTTCTTAGACCGACACTCGAAGCTCGCTGAGCACTTCGCTACGAAGATAAATACTTTTGTCGAGGACGAGTTGACCCAATTCCAGTCAACTGAAGAAGAAGTTCGCAATTTCAACCTCTCTTTCGACAAAGCGCTGCGAGAGGCACAGGCTCAGACTTCGGATTCTCATAATCAGATGAACAATGTCCTCGAAGAGATTAAGGTTCTGCGCGAGGAAGTCAAAGGCAGGGTTGGAGAGGGGTTGAATGGTCTGTCAGCGGCGGCAGCCCGTATCTCAAAGGAGGTCATCGGCGAGTTTTCAGAGTTTCATGCCCAGGTGAGCTGGATTGTCGTATTGCAACCAAGTGCCATGTGCTAATCGACATAGCTCCACGCATCTTACAGCACTCTTGGGAAAGATTTGAAATCCATGTTTGAGGACATGGTAGTCCACGTCAATAGCCAAAAAGCTGAGATCAATCAGCTTCGCCTACAGCTGCAGGAGGCTAATCAGCAGGCTGTGGAGGCGAATCGCAGGGCCTCAGCGCATTTAGCCCAAACCCTGGAAGAGGAAAATGCCCAGGCCGAAGCGGAACGGGATAACCTCATGTCACAAATCAGGTCATTGATTGAAGAATCTCGGCAGAGACAATTCGGTCGTTTGAAGGGCAGAGTTGAGGGTTTGCGGACTGACATCATGTCTTCGGGTGACTCCTTGGAACAAGCAACGGCGCACTATGATCGGCAGGTCGATGAATGGGTATTCAAGTCGGAACAATTTGCCAAAGATGTCATTGCGTCTCGTGATGAAGTCAAGACCAAGATGCAGAGTGATTGGGAGGTAAGAAGCCACCGCTTAATTAGTGATGTGTTAATACTGATTTTGCAGGCATTTGACCAACGCAACGCATCCATCCAGAAAGTAACCGAGTCAGTCCACGAGGAAACCGTCCGGATCGTGGATGCCCAGATGAAGGATATGAGTAGACAGATGGGCGCATTAGATGATTTCGTCGCCAAGGCACGAGCACAGAATGGCCAGTACTGCGACGCCCACATGACTAGCTTACAGAGCATGGCCTCCAATGCCCAACAATCCTACGCAGCATATGAAGGACACCTAGCCGGTTCTCGTGACCGAATCACCTGTTTGCAGGAGGACGCGAATCGACAAATGGACAGCCTTCAGGAATTGACGCTGCCTCTGTCCGACGAAGTTCAGAAGCCCTTGTCGGAGCTTCGCACCAATATTCGAGAGCGCCCTCTTCAAGAGTATATCCCAACCGGCGTCACTCCGCAAAAGAGACGTTATGAGTATCCAACGACCCTGCCTCGAACCGAGGCGCATGATGCCTTGGTCAAAAGGATGAGAACCTCCAAGGAACTTGAGGTCCTGCCATTTAGCAACGCTGAGCCGAGCGCTTCTGTTTCTCCTCTAAACAGTTCTGCCCGGGGAACTCCATTAAAAGGCTTCGTCTACCACGATGTTGAGGACGAGGTAGGAGCCCAGCAACCTCCGTCCACTACCGCGACTCCTTCCAACACTGGTCTTAGGGAAGTCGACGCAAACATCGTCGCAAAGCAACTAGCGTGTGACACTGATGATGATTCAACCGCCACTCAGTCCAAAACTTCCATAGCAGCAAACGGCCGAGTATCTCTGTCTACCGACAACCCGTCAGAAATTGAGGAAACCGACGTCCCGCCCGCCAAAAGACACTGCTCCAGCTCTGGTGTGACTGATAACAAGCTTCCTCAGAAGATGCTGACAAAGAAAATGGCCGGTATGATGGAAGGCAGAGAAAATGTTCCTCTGCCCGGATCGCGCGGACGAAGGCTCAGAGGCCAACCCTCCGACTAAAACTTTCTTCTTGTAGTATTAGCATCCGGTGCAGATAGCTGTTGCTCTGTCATTCTTGCTCTGATACCCCTGGTTGCATGAGTCGTGACGGCGTTTCCGGTTTGAGAGGTGCGATTTATACTTTTCGGTGTCTGGTGGATCATAGTTTGTGTACAGAACCTTGGCTACCCGTGCATTTTCTCTGTTTTTTGTTCTTCATCGATTTCTCGGACCTTGGTCGGTCTATTACTTGCGTGGATTCCATCCCGTCTAAAATCGATTTCAATAGATACCCAGCTTTCCAGGATCTGACCTCGGTGAAACGGTTTGCTTGATTGGTGTTACCTCGATCACAAACGTAAATTATCCTAGGTGAGATGTAACATTGACATGTCTGGGACTTGACCACGCCAAAAACACATCTGAAGTATTTGTATCAAAGGAGGTCGATCACGACACGGTAAACGCATCTAAGGGGAGAAGCTAATATACGGATCCATCACGCTGTTTCTTCATTGCATTAAATCGTTCGGCGACATACTTCAGATATTGCTGTCGTCGCCTGTCTCATTCTTGGTATTGCTATGGTCATCCATTTGTTCACGAGGGCTCGAATCCACAACAGCATTGGCATCTACACCCCCTAGCACTTCTTCCCCTTCAAATAGGGCATCCTGGGTAGGCTGAATCTGCTGTCCAGCGTCGATAACCTGCCTGAGCTCGCCCAGGCGTTTCCCAAACTGCTCCATCATATCTTCCAGTCGTTGACTTCCTCCCCCATTGTCTCTGTCCTTTCCAAACATAGTTACAGGCAAACCAGAGGTTCCGCGGATCTTTAGCATCAAGCCACCAATTGAAGGTTGCTCACCTGAGGCACTATTGTCGAATGTCGGTGCTGGTACGACTTGCGTGCTGAGCACTTGCCACGCTGGTGTCAGGCTATGTGCGGATACAACGTTGAATTGAGGCTGGGCCGGGGGGGACCCATGTGGTGGGGGAGGCGACTGCAGGAGTGTCCCCTGAGCGACCGGCGAGGTGGATATGGACCTCATACCGGCCGTGCCGGCTCCACGTGCCGGATCCGAGCTCAAGTGTTTCGCTTCATCGGGATTCGCAAGCTCCATGTCGAGGATAATGTAGTTGTCGCAAACGCCAGGAGTCGGAGGGGGTAGGAGGGGTTCTTTCTTTGGGCTGGAGGGTTCATCGTCCTCCGGGAGGGCAGTTTCGTTTCCCGCTGCGACCTGCTGCTGCGCTGGCGGTTGATTGTCCGCTGACGTTGCCTTGCCTTTTGAGGGATCGGGAGAGTTATCTTGCTCTCTTTCTAGGGCGCGTAGAGCTGCTTCCGTTACGATGTCTGTGTCGTCGTCGGAGAAGATGTAGTGGACTGCTGGGTGGTAGTATTCGGAGGTGTTGGCATCCTCTATGAGCGTGAAGAAGGGTTGAAAAGATGGCTGCGAAGCGGAACTTGTTTCATGATGATCCCCATCACCAGGGCGTAGAGATGAGGTGTCGCCAGCTACATCGTCTGTTGTTTGCTGCTGCGGGGAGTGGCTGACTCGTTGCGCGGTAGGAGGTTGATCAAAGCTCTGTGGTCGTGATAGTGTTTTGGGACCGGAGAATCCTCGGGAGGTCTGCTGAGGAGATGATGAGTATTGAGAGGGTAATGTGGTTTGAGTTGGCAAAGACATTTCCAGCAGCGCAGCTACATCCTTGAGTTCGGGATGATATTGAGGTGGTTTGATTTGGCCTGATCAACGAGGATCTGTCTCAAGCTACGGAATGGCTCATCATCATCACATGGCTGGGGCGGTCGACTCCTTATCGATAAAGTCAGGTGACTTGCAAAGCACGCGGACGCTTTTCGAGTGCATCAAATGAGTAGAGCAGCTTTTGCTGTTATGAGGAGAGAGACAAAGGAAATAACAAGGGTATCATGTACATCAGAACTCCTAACACTCCGTTTGCCATAGAACGAGAAGGCTTAAAAAGTCGACAATATCATCATCCTTACTCGTCGTTTTGCTTCCACTCAAACTCTGTGCAGCATATTAGCCTTAGGTCAAGAACTGGAGCAAGAGTGTACATACTTTGTCTGCACATTGGACACAATCCTTTCGAAGACTCTTGTTGAATCCAAGTCATGAGGCAATGCTGTTCAGGAAAGTGATCTAGTTAGCGGCTTCATAGAATGAGGACAAAAGATCCACAATCACACCATATGGAACGAGTGGCCGCATTTTCCGAGCACTGCAGGATGTAGAGTTATGGATCAGCACTGTGTCCCCGTCGCCAAAGCTGAGTAGAAAGATAACCCACAAAGCGAGCAGTCGTCTCCCGGAAATTTGCAGGTTGGGCATGTTCCATCAAATTGAACACGGCATATACCACAGACGTCGTCCTCGGGCATATCCCAGCGCCAGGTAGCGACCGCATTCCATTCTTTGATAGTAACTTTCATCTTGATATGTCTTCTTTGTTGTACGAAGGTTGTGTTCAACTAGGTTAGAAAATACGCAGTTTGCAGGGATCTTGGCGGAGTTGCGACGATAAGCGCGGAGTTGTTTACCTCTTTCACATGGCGGAGAAGCAATGGCTGACTCCGCACGCCTAGATAACTGGATGGAAAGGACTCCCCCGCTATCCGTACTCTTCCCTCTACCCAGTCTGTGGAGGTTTACTGACCCAATTTGATCACGATATTCGTTATTCGGTATGTGAATTATTTCATCGATTATTTCCTCTGAGAACTCGCCGCAAGCATGGCTTTTGCGACTCTTCGTAGCATTCCTTCACCGACTCGCTTGATGCGCCCTACCATGGCTGTCTCTCAGCAGCTACGGCAACAGACCCAGAGTCGCCAGATCTCATTCTCTTCATACCTTGTGTCACCCAGGGAACTCCATGAAGCTCTGAAGAAGAATCCGACCACGAAGATCTCGACTTCTCCCCGTGTAATCCCTCTATGTGCCGCGTGGTTTATGCCCAATGACCCCGAGGGCCGCAAAGGCATTGATGCTTTTCGAAAGCACCGCATTCCTCAGGCACGATTCTTTGATCTAGACGCGATCAAGGACCCCGAATCTCCCTACCCGCATATGCTTCCTACTGTGGAAACGTTTGCGGAGGCGATGAGCCAGCTTGGCATTCGACGCGACGACGAGGTTGTGGTTTACGATACGGAAGAGCTTGGCATCTTCAGCGCCCCTCGTGTTGGCTGGACCTTACGAGTTTTTGGGCATCCCAGGGTTCATGTCCTCAACAACTACAGGCTGTGGGTTCGTGAAGGCTATCCGACAGAGACTGGGGAGCCAGCGCCTGTGGAGAAGACCAGCTACCCACTCCCGCAATTCGACTCTAAGCTGGTGATTCCTTACCGGGAGTTGAAGGAGATCGCCAAGGAACACCGAAAGGAAGGAGCAAAGGAGGTCGAGATCCTGGATGCTCGATCTTACGGGCGATGGGCGGGTACTGATTCCGAACCGCGCCCGGGGTTGTCCTCGGGACATATCCCTGGCTCCAAGAGCTTGCCATTCCAGGAACTTCTTAACCCTGAAACAAAGACCTATCTTTCTCCTGAAGAGCTGCGCAAGGTCTTTCAGAAACACGAAGTTGATGAAACCAAGTCCATCATCAGCACATGTGGCACCGGCGTGACGGCCAGTGTCATTGAAACCGCTTTGAATGTAGCAGAGTATGGAGATCCCAGTCTTCGGAGGGTTTACGACGGGAGCTGGACGTAAGTATCTTTCTCTTTTCTTTGCCTTGTGGCTATAAGTTCAGACGCTGACTCTTCGCGATTAGTGAATGGGCACAGCGTGTCAAAGACTCGGAGGGTCTAATTAAGAAGGCGACCTGAGAATCCCTTTTCTATTGTGGCCATGATACGATTTCTAAGGATTTGTACACACGACAGCATTTCTGTTCTCTTGCCTTGAATGCATATCGGCTTGCGTTAGAGCGCTAGCACGCACCAATAACCTAGAGCTTCTCTGCTGTGCGATAGAATGTAATACAGGGAAAATAATATGCATATTCCTATTCATTTGAAATCTTTAGCCCGAAGAGTTGGGTAAGGATGGCGGTTTCCTTCTGGATCACATCATCACCCTCTACAAGGTAGCGCCGTAGTGCTTAGTCAAAGGCTCTGATCGACTAATTCTCCGCGGCTTCGAGTTGATCCGCCGCTGTAGGATGCCGTTACACTCCCTCTCTCGGGCTCACTACGTTCACATTCATTATTATCCAGAACCACAAGATGCTGCTGATGAGCTTTACTTGTGAAACAGTGTTCTCTTGTGAGTATAAGTTGCATACATCTTGGTTGTCCTTGCTGCCTGGCTCTACTACATGCATCAAGTTCATTCATGCCCCCCCACATTCCCAAAGTCCTCCACCTCCGTCTAACTACCCAAACCTCCTTCGGGAGTTCTTGCATCCCGCTAACATCGCACTGCGGCCTAGTCGCGGTCGTCAAAGCTAGCTGTCTAGTGTAGGACTTCGCTGTCCTGCCTTGATTGTTCGATTTTTTCCATCAAAGCGCCCGGTCGCCCTTCGCTCAATGAGAGCCATGTCGCCCGGACGCAAGGTCTTCCATTGTGCCGTGGACGAAACGGCCCTAACCACCAACATCAGCGAAATCAAAAGATGGACCACAAGCGGCGCCATTACCCTCATCGTCCCTCTTTACAGTAAGTACATTGATTTCTGACACGCCGTCCTCCGTCCCGCTCGCTCATTAGGTTTTCTGCTACTTTCCAGCCCTGGAACGCCTGCATGCGTTGAAAAGAGCCGGATCCCAGATCGCCATCAACTCCCGTGAGGCTGTCCGCTTTCTCGATCGAGTCACGTCCGGCAAAGATAATATTCCTGCCAATAGTGTCGTTCTCCAAGGCCCGATGGAGCAGTACGAAAATTGGGAAGAGGCGGAGAAGTTCTTCCTACCGGAGTTTGAGGAGGAACCCGAGGCGATCAACGGAGATGACGCCGAGGAGCAGTTGCCCCTGGAGAGGCCAGCCGAGAAGATGAAGAGCAGTAACAAGAAAAATGGCGCGGCCCCCGATGATCTGTCGCAGATGCTTCTCAACAAGCTGAACTTCAAGACCGAATCAGACGCCGCGTCGATTCCCTCCGCGGGTACGCACAGTAATCCTGCCTCATCACCCTCGTCGAGAAGTTCGCGCACAAGCCCCGAGGACTCCAATCTGCGCGCGGTTGCAAACGGTGGAGTACAAAACGAGGCCACATTGAAGAATGAGACCGGACATCGGCGCACTGCCTCGGGGTCTGTGGTTCCTACAGCTCCCGTGGTGCTTCGTCCGCTTCTCAGTGCCATTCTATGGCGCTTGCACAGTGGTCCCGACGCCACTAATGCAGCGAAGACTTGCATCCTCGTCACAAATGATCGCGTAACGGGATTGTGGGCTCAGAAGTTCGGCATTGCCGTTAAGAACATCCATCAACTGCGAACTTCGATCCAGTATGAAGAACGAGAGTACAAGAACCGTTGCAAGTATGTTGAAAAGACCTTGGTGTCTGAACCAAAATCGCTGCTCTCATACGAAGACGAAAGCGACGAGGATGAATTGGTGTTCGTGCCTCGCGGCCGTGGAAAAGGAGTATCGAGAGGCGGGGGTTCGCGCGCAACCACCAACCGTAAAACCACTTCTCCCAAAGTGGTCGCAGCTCCCGTGGAGAGTACGGTTGAGATCCCCACGCAGCCCATCGATCCCGATTCTTTCAGTCGGGCCTTGGGTCCCACTACCAAGCAACAGCCTACCGTGGATTTGAGCACTCAAGCTGGAGCCGCTCGTGGCATTGCTGGCGCATCTCGCGGTCGTCGCGGAGCATCCCGAGGACCTTCTCGTGGTAACAATCGCGGTCGAGGCAAACTCTGGGTTCCTTGATGGGAAGGCAAAGGTTCGTCAATCGTCCGACTGGCGAACCGGGCTTCTGCAAGTTTCTCAAAATAGACCTCTACGGTTGTTATTCGAAGCAGAGAAGGAAATTATCTGCATTGGCTGTGCTTCCTACTGGTCGGATTTCGAAAGTTGACCGGTGGCCTATGGATGAGACAGACGGTTCTCCCGGGCGTGTGGCATGCATGTACAGGAATAAGGCAGACGATCGCGAATCGAGCACAGCACGGTTCCGATCCGATAGCACCATTTCTGCATGGGAACTACGATCAAAAGGGTTTGAAGCATCAGAAATGGTCTCGAGTCGAGCTGCGGGGATCCGATGATTTCCTATATGCCGCCGTTGACTTTCTCTTTTACAGTGCGACACACGCTGATGTCTTCAATTTGTTTCCACTTTGCAGGTGGTACTCAAGGACCCATCATTCTTTCCAACGCCTTACGGTCCAAAGATCTAATTCTTCCCCTTCAACACGTCCATGCTGGAAGCACACAGATGGCAGTTGTTGTTTCGTTGCTTGATTTCGTTGGACACAATATGATGCCACTCTCAGAATTGTTTCGGAGAAAGGAGGCAGTATCGAGGGTTAGCAAATTGACATGTGTGATGCCTACTCTTTTATTGTCGGAGTGGATGTGTGTATCCCAGTCTTCATTTCTAAATTCAGTGAGGAAAATTAGCATACAAATCAGACTTTTTTGATGCGACGTCTTCCGTTTGATGTATGCGGGGTGACCTTGGCTGATACTTTTGACGTCTGTTGCCCCGCCGACTTACCTCCAAAGGTCCCGTGGAACTGTCCTCCGCATCATCACTTGACCTACCATTCTTCTCTGTCAACACCATCATCACTTCGGACCTCATCACGTTCTGCTTCATCGCTACTTATTAGCTTGGTGTCTGCTCTTACCCTTTCAGCAGTCTCTCCGAATTCGTAACCGTGTTGTCGTGAAAGTAGTCACAGTTGAGTCTCCGCAAGTATATATCTCAGTTCTCCCGTATCGCTATCGCTATCATGGACAATATCATCATCCCCAACGCCGAAATCGACGAGAGTCCCCTCTCAGCCTCGTCCATGGAACGTCGCAATTCCCTCGAGAAACACCTCCAGACTCGACCCGACCCCCAGGACCTTAAAGAAAGACATATCCTGCTCGATACTACCGTGGCGCCGTAAGTGATTACCAACTACCAGGCCCCGAATCCTACATGGCCATGCACGGATACTGAGCGTCCTACCGGAACTGCGTAGATCTCTCCAGGCAGCCAAAGCAGAACTCGCACGCCAGCGTACAACAGACAGCCTGAAGAAACATCTCGAGCACCGTCCCGAGCGGGATGAGCTCGTTGAACGTGTGTATTCCCTTTTTCCAGCGGAGATTCAAATGGATGTCATGCCTGAGTAGAGAACGCTGATCTGCTTCATGATAGGCAACATCCTCCCGCATACTAACGCCGCGCCCGCGCTGCAGGCGCAAGCGAAGGAGCTCGAGAAGCATATGCTCGCCGATAACCTTGACCAGAAGCTGCAGCGTAGACCGCAGCCGGAGGAGCTTATCTCGCAGGGTATCTTGACGGAGGATGAGGATCCGAGGCTCCCGGCTGTGTAGAGTGCTGCTGACGGGTTACATCTATCTGAATTGGAAATGGGAATGGACAATTGGGCGTTTTCGATGGGTATATGCTTGATTGGGGGGAGGGTCGTAGCCTCCATACATGCCCTTATGCGTATTTTTATTTGATGATGCATACGCTTTTATGAGATTGACAATGTCACGACTGTTGGTACTACCTACATGGTAACCCGGTGATCGTTTCTGAAGGATGAGGACATGCGATGCATTCCAGATATGTTGCACCGTTGATAACAGTGCGTAATCAATAAACTTCCATATCAACCGGCCCCGACAGATCCGGTGTCCACCCCGACGGCCGCTCACTACCACGCACCAAGATCCCATACGCAGCCCGCTCGACCTTCTCCACACTAGTCTGCATAACATCGACCTTCTTCCCCATATCCCGAAGCATATTATTCGCATGCCGCCGCGGCACACTCAGCAACTCAAACGACGCCCGCATCTCCCTCAAATCAACCACAATACCCGCCTGCGTGGCCGGCAGCTTCGGCAGATGCTGATTCGTGCCCGCGCCAGAAATATCCCGCGCCGCCAGATCATCGCCGCTGCTATCCGCCTGCCCGCCCGTCCCCGTCGACAGCGACGTGATCGCAAACCGCATCATTTCACCCGTCAGATCGAACAGTCCCAACAGGTAATCCTCCTCCGTGACGAGGATCTCGGCGGGAAGGGCGGCGACGACTTCGGCGTGGGAGATGAGGGTTTGGTTCTGTAGGTAGTGATTGAAGGAGAGGGCTTCGATGAATTCCTGGATGGCACCGCTGAGTTGGCGCTGGTAGCGCCAGCTGTTGAGGCCTGTGACGTCGGGGATGACGTTCTGGAAGAGGGTGGAGATCTGGTCGAAGCGGGTTTTGGTCTCTTTGGCGATTGGGGCAGGGATGGGCGCTTTTATTGTGCGAATGCTGGGAGATCGTTAATGGTGTTCCATATTAGTGTGACGTGAGGGTAGGTAGACTAACCGTTGAAGCGAAAAGATTCTGGTAGTTGGACATTAGCATATGTGAATTGAGCTTGCGTGCGAATGTATGCAAATGGGATGGACCGGACAGGAAACGAACATCTTCTTGCTTAGGGCTGTAATATCTCTGCTCGTCTTGATGACTCGTTCTCGGCGGTCGTGGTGCTGATCGAGTTCGTCGCGGAAGGTCTCGAACATGGAGAGAATATGTGTAGAAGGCTGGTCGATTGGTGCTGCGGCCATGTTTGTCTGTGTCTTCTCGGTGTCCACCAGATTGCCTTCCCACGATCGCTTGTTACCTGCCATGGAGTGGTGTTGCTTGGAGTTGGTGTGTTTTTGGGGTGATTGTACAAATTGCGCTGGCTGACGGGTCATGGTCGTCATTCCTCCGCTAGGCTTAACCATATTGGGGTGGTTGTTATCTGATAAGATATCCAGGACGCCCGAACTTTTGATTCGGAGAGTGTTTAGAGGTAGTCTAAGAAATATTCTATTCTATATTTCATGGCTAGAATGGTGTATGAGGTAGATGCACAGAATTCATCGTATCAGTTCTCGTTCTGAATGGGCAATGCAATGTCTCGCAATATGCGTCCCGTGCTAGTGCTCCAGAATTCCAGTCGACTTCTACTGTCCAAGGAACTTGTACGTTAGAGGAGCATCACCCGGCTTCAGGCCCTTGATGGTCACTCTCTGGTCGTCACCAGGCACAATGTCCATCGCACTGTCACTGATTCTAACACCCTCTCGCTCCTCGAAGACCAGGCACTTGACTGGCTTTTGCGTGCTGATGAGCAGTGTCTGCTCATCCTCCGACCCAGAGACCTTCTTTACTTCAAGACCCCGGTCCGAGAGATCAAGGTACTTGAATGGTTGAGGCCAGTCCACGTCCCTTGCCACAAGCTGACCGTCGACCCAGATCCGAGCAGCAAGGACATGAGGTTCGGAGTGGACTTTGTGGTCGATTAGGCCGTCCACAATGAGGTTTGTTGTGCCGTTGGGCACTATGCTGACGTTCTCGTGCACAATGCGCTCCCGAACTTCAAGCCCAGTGTTGACGGAAAGGAACCGAAGTTCCACTGTGCCTTGAACCTCTTGTTGCCGGCTGCTGGTAACCCAGAGTTCGAACTTGCTCGTCTTGGGAGGCTGTGCGTGGGTCACGCTCCAGTCATGATGTTCTCTACGAACACCAACCGCGATAGGGTTCAGCACTCGTGCCACAGCGTAGAATGCAGGCTTGGGCCGCAGGAAGTAGTCCACGATAGCCCAGGAGATTGTAGGCCAACAGTCGTTCAACTGCCAGAGGAGAGCACCACCACAGTGTCTCTCGTCAGCCCATTGGCGACGCCATCCCCGGTATCCGAACATCATTGTTTCTGCTTGAACGACTTGTGTAAGGTAAATGTGTGTCTGCATTTGGAGTCAGTCATGAAATCACGTATGATTAAAGGGCAGCAGCTTTGCCTACCTCCAGGTCTGTTGCCGTCCTCAGATTTTCAACAAGGTATGTAGCTATTCTGCGCTCATGGCCGTCGGCCTTATTATGGAAATCAAGAACGTGCGATTGTGGATACTTGTCCGCCTCATTCTCAACAAAATAATTGATAGTTGACATGTGTGGGAATGCTTCCATTCCAAACTCGCTGTTGAATCGCCCGCCGAGGGTATCGAAGATCTGGTATTTCTCCTGTGTGCCGTGCCAGACTGTTGCCAGTATTAGTAGGACCAGTGCAAGTGGCAAGCAGTGAACGTACCGTTCCATTGATGCATGTCACCAACGGTGGGGTCGGACGTGGTCTTCCCATCGCCCCAAGGACTACCAGGGTGATAGAAAGTACTGGGACAGAATTCTTGAACCACCTCTGGAAGGAGTTTCTCATAGATGTAACGGGCAGGGAAATCGGTCTTGAGCCAGCTTTCGGGGTCCTTGTCCTCATAATTGTAAGTGAGACCTGCCTGCTCCTGGACCTGGTAGTCTTCATTGTTGCCAACCCAAATGACGATAGATGGGTGGTGACGCAGCCTACGCACGTTGTAGACAGATTCCTTTCGGATGGACTCGAGCAGGTTGGGCCAGGTTGGGTAGTTTCCGCAGCCAAACATAAAGTCTTGCCAAACCATCACGCCGAGTTCGTCGCACGCGTCGTAGAAGCTGTTGTCCTCATAGTTGCCGCCACCCCATACTCTGCTAACTGTCAGCTATGCATCCATGGATATGACGAGGCTAACGATCACAGCGTACCTGATCATCACTTGACGGCCATGAACCATGAGCTCAATCCATTTGCGGTATCGCTCAGCAGTGATGCTGGGAAGGAGATTATCGGCTGGGATCCAACAAGAACCGCCGCAGAAGATATCGACGCCATTGATACGGAAGAAGAAGGAC